GGTATATGTACGATATGAACATTTAGAGATCAGCATCTGCGTATCTTCAATATCTAACCTTTTGCTCCTACATAAATCTTATATCATCAGAGATGTGGGGAAAAGTTGTACTATAGCTGGCCTGGCATTCTTGAAATGTTGAGGTATGTCTCCTGCTCAGTTTATGGGGTTTCCCATGTATATGAAAGTGAATTTCCCATTCCGTTTACTGATCCTATTCCTCGCCTATTCTCTTAAGGTCTGTTGCCGATGCATCCGAGAAGGATGTGGCGACCCTTGGGTTCCAGGTTAGTGAAGAATGGCTGCCTTGGATTTGATCAAAGTTAGCGGCATTGTATGACACTAGTCTATCCGTTACTGATGTCTTGTCACTGACACCTTGTTTGTTCTTCACAGAGCCTCCGTGTTATTATGAGTGATGGTCTTCCTACTCTTCCGGAAGACTGTATCCATGTGTAAGATTCTATCTGAGTTTTAATTACCTTGTTCCTTATCTTACCTCTTGATACTTAGTTGTTAGAGATGTCAACATTGTACCTCGTTTTGATGGGGGTGGTAGTTAACGATGTTAATATTTCAGGTGCATTGACGTTACTGGAGCTTACAGTGCACAGAAGACTGATTTGAATATAAGTTTAACAGCCATTGGCCTGTTGTGGACTTTGACTGATTTCGTAGCAAAAGGGCTTCAGCATGGGTCTCTAGTGGAGAAAGGATCGGGTAAATAACTGTCAAATTCTAGTCTGCAATTATCACCTCAAGCGAAGCTCTATATAGATATTTAGTGAACTGTGCTGTCCCTGCAGGATTCAATAATGTTGATACCTCTCCACAGCAAACAAATGGTGAGGGTGTGGAAGGGCATATGGTTAGCAATTCCAACAAGCCAGATTACGAAGCTCGAATACAAATAGTCAATCATGAGAAATTGTTGTTTTTAGTCTTTTCGTTAATTCAAAAACTCGTTGATGACGATCGACCAGAGGTATTCGTCATAGACCACCGTTGTCTTTTCAATTTGAATTTGTTATTTACTTGGCAAGTTGGTGCTGCTCTAACTTATTTTCTCATTGCTATTTCTAGGTGAGGAATTCAGCTGTGAGGACGTTTTTTCAGATTTTGGGAAGTCATGGGAACAAACTTTCTAAAAGCATGTGGGAGGATTGTCTGTGGAACTATATCTTCCCGATGTTGGATGGCGCCTCTCACAAGGTGAGGAAAGTGATTCAATACATCCATTATAGGAGACTCCTGTGACAGGTGAATCTTCTTTTGTAGGCTGCAACATCATCAAAGGATGAATGGCAAGGGAAAGAAATAGGTACTCGGGGAGGGAAAGCAGTGCACATGCTTATACATCATAGGTGACAAAAGGAAATTTCTACGCGTGTAAAACTTTGCATTATCCATCTCGCTCTGATAGCATTTGATACCTGAATAACTTATTTGTTTTAGAAGTCTTACCACTCTTCCTACGATTTAATCTTGCCATCCACTTTCTAATTTGCAGTCGCAATACAGCTCAGAAGCAATGGGATGAAACATTTGTGCTTGTCCTCGGAGGAATAGCCCGCCTCTTCCGTTCTTACTTTCCTCTGCTTGAAAGCTTACCCAACTTCTGGTCAGGTGAGTGAGTTGTGCTTTCCTGGAGTGGTTGATAAAAAATCTGAAATGTCGTGGAACCTCTACTTCTGTAGGATGGGAGTCTTTGCTTGCTTTTGTTAAGAATAGCATTTTCAATGGAAGTAAAGAGGTATCCCTTGCAGCGATAAATTGTCTGCAGACAGCTGTTGTATCCCACTGTGTGAAGGTAACAGCGCAGCTACTTCAAATATCTACGAGCTACTATTGACTTTGCCATATCATCGTTTCACTTTTTAACTTTTTGTATGAGTCAGGGGAACTTGCAACTCCGATATCTTAATTCGGTCATGGATGTGTATGAGCTTGTTTTCCAGAAGTCATCGAGTTACACAGGTGACACAGCAACCAAGGTGAAACAAGAGATTCTGCATGGTTTAGGTAATTCTTTCTTTTTTCAGCGAACTATCTGCATTTTTGTAGTCTTTTCCGTTGACTTCGATGGACAATTTCGATGAATAGAAATGACTGAAACAAAGGTGTCCGTAACACTTGGATCTTAACTTTCGGTTTTCATTTTTGTCCAATGTTTTAACAGGTGAATTATATGTGCAATCACTGAAGATGTTTGATGATAAAATGTACATGCAATTGTTGGGAATTGTAGACTTGGCTATAAAACAGGCAATCATAAGTAGCGAAAATTTCGAGAATGAATTTGTACGTCTGTTCTTCTGTCATTTATTTACTTTCTTCCTTTTAAGTACTCTGTCTCATAACTTGGCTTCCTGCGCCCACCTTATACGGATTATATTAATGACTTCAAGGGACATGTCCCCCCTGTACTACGTCATGTTTTGGAGATCTTGCCCTCTTTGGGTCCTCCTGAGCACCTTTCATCAATGTGGCTAATCCTGCTAAGAGATTTTTTGCATTATCTTCCACGGGTTACTTCTGCTCTGCCAAATGAGGAAGGTGAGATTAAGCGAAGCACCACAGATCACCGTGCTAGTAAGTACGTGATGCTACCCGTAACAGTTGTTTATGCTGATATTTTAATTTATCATTTTACCCCAGGCAGTGAAGTATCGGAACATAAAGCTGATGTTTTGTCTCACGAAACTATTCCAACCACAAGAATTACGAGTAATATGTTTGCAGAAAAGCTGATACCTGCTCTAGTAGAGCTTCTCCTTCAGGCTCCTGCAGTTGAAAAGTATATCCTGTTTCCGGAAATCATCCAGAACCTGAGAAGGTAAACCCAACCCTCATTATATGCCGTCATTGTGCTAATGTCGTTACTCTTCTCAACTCAATGGTCTCATAAGTTTCAAACAAAAGCACAGGTTATTTGGTTAATCTGTTAGCATGTGCGGTCAAACCCAACAATCCCCCTCCCCTTTTCTCTCTCGAGTTTCTCGTCCCTTCCTAGGATTGCCTAAAGAAAAAGTTCCTGACATTTTGAAGATCTCCAGTCGTGTCTAGGATAAGAGCGTACAATTCAACTTACAAGATCCTTTTGTTTTTCAGGTGCATGATGACAAGACGAGACAATCCAGATGGTTCACTCTGGAAAGTAGCAGCTGAAGGCTTCAACCGTTTACTTGTTGAAGATGTTAAGATATGTTCTGCGGGTGGTGACACAGACCTGAAAATAAGCAAAACTGCTCGAATGCGAATTTGGAAAGAAATTGGAGATGTGTACGAGATATTCCTTGTTGGCTATTGTGGACGTGCACTTTCTTCAAATTCTCTCCCTACAACAGCGCTTAAGGCCAACGAGACCCTTGAGATGGCTTTGTTAGATGGTCTTGGTGATGTTATTCTTAAGTCGGCCGTTGATGCACCCCGAGAAGTGAGCAGCTTTGATTTCATGTAATATGTTCTCTGTTATCCTTGATTCTTAATGTGATTTTTCCGTATCTTGAATCAACAGGTTTTGGAGCGGCTTGTTTTAACCCTAGACCGCTGTGCATCACGTACATGCTCGTTGCCTATTGAAACTGTGGAGCTGATGCCTGCCCACTGTAGCAGATTCTCCTTGACATGCTTACAAAAGTTGTTTTCCTTGAGCAGGTGATCTTACATTGAGCATTTCCTGGATCATGAGCCTATTCCTTTGCTTTTTTGCTTGCTTCTTCTGCAAAGACGCTGCATCTCATACTTTATAATTTGATGTTTCTTGATCCTCCTAATAGTTCCTCCTCGACTTTAGTTGCATATTTGCATCAAACACGAAATAATAGGCATAACCATACGTTATTGGTTTATACATACGATAGAGATAGAGAGAGTACTCATTCCTACTCCACGTTTAACATACCGACATCAATAATTTTATTGTTTCAGCTCTGAAACTGAGAAGTGGCACTCAACAAGAGCAGAAGTGAGCAGGATCTCTATCATCACGCTGATGGAAAGATGTGAATTCATTTTGAGTAGATTTTTAATCGACGAAAGTAATTTAGGTAAGGGTCTCCTTTTCTTATGAACCATAACATGATTTTACGCCTCCATTCCATAATTTGTGGTTATCTTTTGGCAGGCAACCGCCCAATCCCAACTGCTAGACTTGAAGAGATTATCTTTGCCCTTCAAGAACTTGACCGCCTCACCATTCACCCCGACACTGCTTCGGTTCTTCAATTGCGACCCTCTCTGAAAACCATACTACAAGAAGATAACCGTGACTCCCGTGCCCACCTACTTGTCCTTTTCCCTTCACTGTGCGAGATTGTGTTATCAAGGTAATATCACCCCTTCAACTAGAAACACACCCTAAAAGAGTGACAAAAGAGTGAAAAAATCGGGAAACACACGCTAATATCACTTCTCCAACTTGTAACTAAAAACATACAAGTTCCTCTCATATTTTGATTCTGATAATTTGTTTTTGCCAGAGACCCGGTGAGAGAGCTGGTGCAAGTTTTATTACGAGCAGTTGCTACGGAGCTAGGTCTGAAAAAGGTCAGCATATCCGGTTGATGGCAACACATGGCAATGTTTCGCAGAAGATTTGAGCTTTAAACATTAGAAATTTTGGTTGTATACCACTTAGGTTGTATTTTTGTAGCTTGTGCTGATTTATTGTGTGCTGTTTTATTTCTCTTTGCTCATGGGACTGTTCATCGTTCTTTCCCACTGAGGATACAATACGCCACTTTCCGAGAAATTATATTGGTCCAGGCTCCGGCCGGTCTGAGTTTCCCTGGTTTGATCGTTGAAACCGATCTGTACCATGTTTGTTTGATTCTCGAGTATTATGATATTGGTTATTCGTTGAGCTAATGTAGCTAACGTGTACTCAAATAGGTATAATAAAAAGCTTGAAAATCTTATATACATCAATATATACAGGTATTTATATGTACTTGGCTTCTCAAATATCATTACATAGGTCCGGAGAAAGAAGAAATGTATTACTTGGCTTGATTAATCCGAGCAGCCGCAGCGACAGAGGCGGCCACTCCGGTTGGGTAAGTAGTGAGATGTGGATCGTTCCTCATCTCTGCTCCTGTCACTCCCTCCGCATCTTTCCTCGTTGCTGGTTTGTCCGACGGTAATTTACATCTCGCTCCCTTTTGAGAACCAACGTGTCCCCAAAAATGAACTATCGTTAGAAACTATACACACAATTTATCAAGAAATTGGGATTCTAGCAATTTACTCACTGTGAGAACATCGGCAAGCGTAGTCTTGTCGTCGTCGGAGCTAGCTCGAGCGTTAAGAGTGGCAGCTGACTGAGCAGAAGCAGCAACACCGCCGGGCATGATGTTGGTCCGTCCAGTGGCTCTAACCTCTGCAGCTTGTATGGCGGCTGCGTCACTCCACTCCACCGGCTTATTCCCTGCCGTGAGAACCGCTGCCTCTAGAGCCTCTCCTATCGTAATGGTTCCTTCCGATGCTGGAGGAGGATTAGCCACCACATTTTTCTGGTTTACTTCTCCCTCCGCCTACAAATTTTTGATAGTCTTATTACATATGATAAATGTTTATGTAACACTGCATAATTCATCGAACAATATATGGACCTGTCCACCGGAGGCTTCGGCGACAACACCTTTATCTTTGTCCTCCACGGCGTCAACGCCTCCCTGCGTCGCCGGAGTCTTCTCGGCCTCTTCTTTTACGTCATAAGCTACAGGTTTCTCTAGCTTTTCTTCGCTCATTTCTTTTTATTTTGGGTCCTTTCTTGTGTTGTACGCAATATATATTTGTAATGTTTGGTACTTGTGTAGTTTCTGCATGAGCCATTCAATCCTATGGTTTTGCATACACAATAAGAAGAAAGGTTCTCCTCGACTTTCTCTTCTCAACTTTCCCTCCTAATTTCAGCCAATAAAAGCTGACATATGTACATGTATAGGCTTACATAACATTTGGTTCGGTTTTTGTATTAAATAATATCTATCCGGTTTAGATCAATTAATCGGTTAGAGCATGATTAATGAGGTCTCTTAAGAGAGTATTTTAATGTAATTAGGAATTAAAAAAATAGTAAATCGAAGGAACATATCTTAATTAAGGGAATGAAGAAACGTCTCTTAAGAGACACATGTGAAAATATTATTGGATAGAGGAAAGGTGTCAAGATAATTTCGTTCTTTTCTTTCTCTCTCGGTGGCTCTCCTCGACAAAACAACGATGTTTCTCTCGGTCATTCTCTTCGATGTAACAAAACGGCGACTTCTCTCTCCTAGTGGCTCTCCTCGACGAGGGAAACGACGACAGCTCTCTCAGTGGTTCTTCTCGACGAAGAAAAATAGTGACCTCTCTCGTGGTGGCTCTCCTCGACGAAGAAAAACGTTGATTGTTGCTGCTCAGTCGAATCAAAATATAAAGCTATGTTATTTTGTTTTTATGTTTAAATTCTTCAATTATGCATGTCTTAGATTGTGCTATTTGTCTGTGAATCCTAATATATAAATCTTGTGATTTTTTTTTTCATTTGTTTTTGTCTTTGTGTCTTAAGATGGATGGATGAAGAGACATAAGCCAGGTTCGTCAAACAAAAGGCCTACAATTACAATACATTTAAAACTCTTCTCTCTGATATGTTCAGTTCATTGAAAGTTTTTTAAAAAAAATTGTTTATATTCGTTGGTGGTTTTTGATTATGTTGCAATTGATGTTGATTTTGATTCTTGTTTCAAATGAATAGAATCGTCGGTAATAAATGTTTTGGTTAGTATTATTTTATGGCTGTATTAGGTAATAAATAGATGCTATGGCTAGACAGAAATTGATGGTCTAGTATGATGAATGTTTTGGATATATATGTCAAGTGGATTTCGTTGATTGTGATGAATGTGTTGATTCTTCTCTTCCATCTATAAAACATATTCCTTCTTATCCTTTTTATCATCTTTTAAACTTTGTTCTTCTCTTCCATCTTTTAAACACATTGTTCTTTTATTTCTCTCTTTCTTTGACCATTTTCGGACATGGGTTCTAATATGTATATGCACACTTCAAATTTTGTTGTATTTCTTAATAGTCAACAAGATATTGTCTTTGGTTTAGTATTAGATAATGCTGAACTATCTTCATCACAAGTTCGTGTTTTTGGCACTCAAGGTATTGAAGATTCAAATTTTGGTGAAGACATTTCTGGAGAGCGTAGAGAACAAATGAAATGGATGCCAACAAATGAATCTGTGCTCATCAGTTCATGTACGAGCAAAGATTTAGTTGTATGAAATGAGAAAAGATCTGGTGCTTTCTGGAAAAAAATTACAGCCTACTTTGCGGCAAGTCTGAAGGTTGCAGGCTGCAAACACTGTAAGCAACGTTGGCATAAGATCAATGTCCTTGTTTGCAAATTTTGTGAATAGTATAAAGCTGCAACTAGAGAGAAAAATAGCGGTCAAAATGAAAATGATGTTTTCAGACTAGCTCATGAAATCTTGTAAAACAGCCATAAAAAGAAATTCAACCTTGAACATGCTTGGAAAGAGTTGCGCAATGACCAGAAATGGTGTGACATTTCTACTTCTAAAAATGATGAAAGCTTTTAAAGGAGGAAGTGTGAAGACAGTGCACAATCATCAAGCTCTCACGCAAATGAAACCAAGACTGCTGAAGGTGAACAAAGAACCAATCGTCCCCCAGGTGTTAAGACAACAAAGGGCCACGGTAAGAAGATGATGGTAGAGGGGAAGGCGCTGTCTGAGTTTCAATGTATGTGGTTCATTACAAATCAGGATTTTGCTATGAAAGAAAGACTGTCGAAGATGAGTCTACTTTAGTATGAAGAAGCTCTAAAAAGAAGCTTATTAATGACTTGGTTTCTACTTAGTTTAAGTTTAAGTCGAAGTCTAAGAAGAAGATAGGTCATCTGTTTATGTTCATTTGTTTGTTGTTTGTTGTTTGTTGTTTGTTGTTTTTTGTTTTTTTGTATTTCCGTAGAAGTTTATTGTCATTGAGTTATTGTTCTTGTTATGTTTAAGTTTTTGTTTCTTGTTCTAGTTATGTAATGGAGCTATTGTATTTTAGAAGTTATTGTATCTTCCAACGGTCAGCTACTCTTTATTTTAAGTTTGTGCTTTCTTATTCTGATGATATGTTGTCTATTATGTGTGTCATTACTTTCAGGTCTTGAAAGAGTGAAAGAATGGAGCATTGGGAGCATCCATGTGTCATTGATTTCAGGTCATAAACACGGACTAGCATATTGTTGTAGGAAAAATTGCCAAATATGACTCAAAACTTAATTTAAAATGCAAAAGTAAACCCAAACTTGAATCAAATGCAAAAGTAACTTAAAAGACTATTGAAATTACAACCAACCCCTTGTGAACAAACAAAAAAATGTATTTTTTTTTACGTTTCTAGCCCTCGCAAGTCGTCTGAGACAATTTTTCTTAAAAATAATTTAAAAATTGTGTAATAAATATCTTGATAAATGAAAAATTGGGATTATGTAATTAACATGTGTCTTAAGAGATATAAATTAAGATATGACAAAAATCAGTTGTTTTCAGCATAGATGAGTGAAAGTAGTGAGTCATGATATTCTTTAGTTTAGGTTTCACCAATATATGTTGTAGTATTGTATGTGTTTCTTAGGGTTAGATTTTCGAAAGCATAAATGTTTTTTTGAAAAATTAAAAATTTACCTAAGTGTGTTTATTTATGTGTATAGTAAACATTATTTAAGTATAATTTGATTTTATAACGTGGTTAGTTAGTTAATTTAGTCAATTTAGTTTAGGGTTTAGGGTTTGGACAACTGAAATATCAGTCGTCTGGTAAATAATTTTACACAGACGACTTACAAATAAGTCGTACTAATATTCCCGCCTAAAATTTTAAAAAATTTTATTTTCCCGCTTGAATAATTTAAACCAAACAACTTACTTGTAAGTCTTCTGGACGACTTACTTGTAAGTCTTCTGGACGACTTACTTGTAAGTCTTCTGGACGACTTACTTGTAAGTCTTCTGGACGACTTAGTTATAAGTCTTCGGGACGACTTACTTCTAAGTCTTCTGGACGACCTACTTGTTAGTCTTCTGGACGACTTACTTGTAAGTCTTCTGGACGACTTACTTGTAAGTCTTCTGGATGACTTACTTGTAAGTCTTCTCAAAAGTCTTCTATTTTAGTTTCCCTCTTGAAATATTTTAGTTTCCCGCTAAAATTATTAAAGTCTCCTGAACAACTTATATTTCACTCATCTGAATCGAAAATATTTAACCTAATTTTTTTTTCCCTATAAAAAGAAAAATTTACACATTCTCTCTCCTCCTCTCAAATGTCTGCAACAAAAAATGTAATGTTCATCTTTCTAGAACTCTCCAATCTCTCTATAATCTCTTTGAACTAATAAACACCAAACTTTATATCAATTTATTGTTTTTGTCTCATGTCTTTCTCATTAACTTATCTTGTTTTGTAGGTTTTTCATCACATGATTCTCATATTCCACTCATTTAAAGATAGATCTATTAACTTTATATGAATTTTCAGTTATGTCTCATGTTTTCTCACTAATCTATCTTTTTTTTTTTTGCAAGTTTTTAATCAGATGGTTCTCATCTTCATTTGGATGTATGTTATGTTTTCTATTAAAGTATATATATATATCTAATCTTTCACTCATTTTCTGTGTGTTTTAAACCATTTGAATGTTTTTTGATATGCAGGTTTTTCAGATCTGGGTTTGAAATGCAGGTTTTTCAGATCTGGAAGTCTTCTGGACGACTTACTTGTAAGCCTTCTGGACGACTTACTTGAAGCCTTCTGGACGACTTACTTGTAAGTCTTCTGGACGACTTACTTGTAAGTCTTCTGGATGACTTACGTGTAAGTCTTCTGGACGACTTACTTGTAAGTCTTCTGGACGACTTACTTGTAAGTCTTTTGGACGACTTACCTGGAAGTCGTCTGGACTTCCTGTAAGTCATCTGGAATTCTTGTAAGTCATCTGGAATTCCTGTAAGTCGTCTGGAAGTTGTCTGAACTTTCTGAAAGTTTTATGACGCTGTCTTCTTTCATATCAAGTGGAGTCCAATCTTGTCTTTGTAAAGGAATGATCTATTATATTTTTGTAAAATCAGTTCCCAAGATGTAATATATGTGCTAACAATGTGTTTACACATGTACAAATCAATGAAATAATAGACTTCAATAGCTTTTTTCATCTTTTGGATCTCCCATATGCAATAATAAATCACAATGTCCTTCTGCTCATCTTAATAAACAAGAATGTTGGTAGCCTCGTATTGATACAACATTTTAAGAAGAATATTAACCTTTCTTCCAACAAATCATCATTGGTGTTAAAGCATATTACATGTTTTACAAGGTTGTGTTGAAAAACTTAGTCAAATTTAGTAAAATTAAGGGAGAAAAAATATTTTGAAAATATGAGATTTACATATCATGAAGTTATTTAACACTTTTAAAAATACAAGTAATTCAAAAAATATTTTTATCACTTTATTCAACCAAGAAAATTTAGTAAAATTCACAGAAGATCAAACATTACGGGATTTGATCAAATATTTTTATCACTCTATTCAACCAAGAAAACTTAGTAAAATTCAAAGAAGATCAAACATCCAGCTAAAAGACTTTNTGAAGTTATTTAACACTTTTAAAAATACAAGTAATTCAAAAAATATTTTTATCACTTTATTCAACCAAGAAAATTTAGTAAAATTCA